GTTGTACTTAAATGCATGCAGTATATGAAACAAGGTAAATGGGCTTGTAGCCCAAATTGAAATTGGCAGGTACGATGCTGTGGGTATTACAGAGAAATGGCTGCAATGGGAACACGACAAGGAACTACATATCCAAGGATGCGTATCCTATTGAAAGTACAGGCAGATGGGCAGGGGGCAGGGGGCAGGGTTGCTACGTTAGTAAGAAATGAAAATAAATTGATGGCAAGAAATGATGTAGAGATGGAAGGCACAGAATCTGTGTGGGTAGATAGAGATGGACAACACAGACAAAGACCCTCCATTCCAACTCATCCATGCTGACCAGATATTCTAAATTAATCTAGTCCCATTTGCCAGCATTTGGCCCACATCTCTCTAAATACTACTTATTCATGTACCCATCCAGATGCCTTTTAAATGTTGTAATTGTACCCACCTCCACCACCTACTGTGGCAGCTCATTCCAAACACACACCACCCTCTGCGTGAAAATGTTGCTCCTTATGTCCCGTTTAAATCTTTCTCCTCTCACCTTAAACCGATACCCTCTAGTTTTGGATTCGCCTATCCTGGAGAAAATACCTTGAATATTCACCCTATCCATGCCCCTCACGATTTTATAAACCTTTATAACAGCACCCCTCAGCTTCCGACACTCCAGGGAAAATAGCCCCAGCCTATTCAACTTCTCCTGAGCGCTCAAACCTCCAACACTGGCAACATCCTTATAAATCTTTTCTGAACCCTTTCAAGTTACGCAACATCCTTCCTATAGCAGGGAGACAAGAATTGCACACAGCATCCAAAAGTAGCTTAACCAATGTCCTGTACAGCCACAACATCACCTCCCAACTCCTATACTTAATCAACTCACAAATAAATGCAAGCACACCAAATGCCTTCTTCACTACCCTATCTACCTGTGACTCCACTTTCAAGGAACTATGAATCTGCACACTCAGGTCTCTTTTCTTGGCAACACTCCCCAGGACCTTATCATTACGTGTATAAATCCTGCCCTGATTTGCCTTCCCAAAATGCAGCATTTCACATTTGTCTAAATTAAGCTCCATCTGCCAATTCCTTGGCCCATTGGCCCATCTGATCCAGGCCCTGTGTACTCTGAGGTAACCTTCCTCACTGTCCACTAGATGACTAATTTTGGTGTCATCTGCAAACTTTTCCTCAAATCCCTTGTATACCTCTTGTCTTTCACTTTACAATGATGCATCCTTGCTTTTGACCCTTCAACTAAGGGGAACAGTTGTTTTCTATCCACCCTGGCCATGCCTCTCATAATCTTATACAATTCTATCAATACCAGCCTCCACAACTTCCCTGCTGCAAAGAAAACCAACCCGAGCTTATCCAGCCTCTCTTCATCACTGAAATGCTCCATCCCAGGCAACATCCTGGTGAATCTCTTCTGCATCCCTCCAGTGGACTCGTGTCCCTCCTTTCGGACAGTGGCCAGAACTGCACACAGTGCTCCAGCTGTGGCTCAACCAAAGTAATGTATACGGCTCCAACATGACCTTCCTCCTCTTATAATCTATGCCTATAATCTACCATGAATCTATATCAGGACAGGAAAATCCTCTGCTTTGCTGCCCCCAGCTTTAGTGCATCCTTCAGCACGTAGTCCCAGACGTTGGGATGTCCGTAACACTCAGTCAAGGAGAACCCCTTGGAAGACCTGTAAGATTTAGGCTGTGAAGACCATCTTTCAGCAAATTGCTCATCCTTTGGTGATGTTTCTCATGGTGGCCAAAAGGAATGGGCGCTGGCACATTAACGTTAATATGGTCCAATAGGAATGAGCAGTTAGAACATAGAACATAGAACAGTACAGCACAGTACAGGCCCTTCAGCCCACGATGTTGTGCCGAACTTCTACCCTAATACTAAGATCTATCTAACCTCCACCCCTACCTTATACTATCATCCATATGCCTATCTAATAGCCGCTTAAATGCCCCTAATGAGGCCGACTCCACTACTCTCTCCGGCAATGCATTCCACGCCCCAACCACTCTCTGAGTAAAGAACCTACCTCTGACGTCTCCCCAATATCTACCTCGACTCACTTTAAAACTATGTCCCCTCATAATAGCTACCTCCACCCGAGGAAAAAGTCTCTGGCTGTCCACCCTATCCATACCTCTGATCATTTTGTACACCTCTATCAAGTCACCTCTCATCCTTCGTTGTTCTAACGAGAAAAGCCGTAGCTCTCTCAACCTTCCCTCATAAGACCTTCCCTCCATTCCAGGCAGCATCCTCGTAAATCTCCTCTGCACCTTTTCCAACGCCTCCACATCTTTCCTGTTATGAGGCGACCAGAACTGGACACAATACTCCAGATGTGGCTGAACCAGGGTTTTGTATAGCTGGAGCATAACTTCACGGCTCTTGAACTCGATCCCTCTATTAATGAAAGCTAACACACCATACGCCTTCTTAACAACTCTATCCACCTGGGTGGCAGCTTTCAGGGAACTGTGGACATGAACCCCAAGATCCCTCTGCTCCTCCACACTGCCAAGAATCTTTCGTTAACGCTGTATTCTGCTTTTAAGTTTATCCTTCCAAAATGAATCACCTCACATCTGCCACTTCTAAGCCCAGCTCTGCATCCTATCAATGTCCCTTTGTAACCTAGAACAGCCCTCCGCACTGTCCACATCGCGACCCACCTTCGTATCACCCACCTAGCGAACTTGCTAATCCACCCTTCCACTCCTTCATCCAAATCATTTACAAAAATCACAAATAGAAGAGGACCCAGGACGGATCCTTGTGGTACGCCACTCGTAACTGAGCACCATGTTGAATATTTTCCGTCCACTACCACCCTTCGTCTTCTAAGGGTCAGCCAATTCTGAATCCAATCTGCCACATTTACCCCTGTCTGATGCCTCCTTACTTTCTGCATGAGCCTACCATGGGGAACCTTATCAAATGCCTTACTTAAATCCATGTATACCACATCCACTCCTCTACCTTCATCCACATGTTTGGTCACCTCTTCAAAGAATTCAATAAGGTTTGTGAGGCATGATCTACCCCTCACAAATCCATGCTGACTATCACGAATCAAACTGTGCCTTTCCAAGTGATCATAAATCCTATCTCTCAGAGCCCTTTCCAATAATTTGCCCACCACTTATCTCATGTTAATTTAATATTAACTAAACGCTACAGTCCGCGAGAAATTTTTAACAGCAGAGCACTTAGAAAATAGTGACAGGGTTGGACAGCGCCAGTTCAGAAGAAGGATCACTGGACCTTAAACATTAACTCTGTTTTCTCTCCACAGATACTGCCAGACCCGCTGAGCTTTTCCAGCAATTTCTGTTTTTGTTTCAGACAGAGTCAGCATGGATTTACTAATGGGAAAACACAACTTCTGGAGTTTTTCAAGGATGTAACTAGTAAAGTTGATCGGGGGAGCCAGCGGATGTGGTTTACCTGGGCATTCAGGAGGCTTTTGATAAGGTCCCATGTAAGAGATTAGCAGGGAAAATTAAAGTGCATGAGATTGGGAGTAGTGTATGGACATGGTTACAGACTTGCCATGGTTGGCAGGCAGGAAACAAACAGCAAGATTATTCAGATCATTTTCTGAGTGGCAGCCAGTGACCAATGCGGTATCACAGGGATCCGTGCTTGGACCCCATCTATAAGTAATAAACACGAATGATTTAGATGTGGAAACTAAAAGTAATATCTCCACATTTGCAGATGATACAAAGCTAGATGGAAGGGTGAGCTGCGAGGAGAACGCAGAGCTGGTTCAGTGTGATTTGGATAAGTTGAGTGAGTGGGTAAATGTATGGCAGATAAAGTATCATGTGGCTAAATGTGAGCTTATCCACTTTGGGAGAAAAAACAGGGAGACAGATTATTATCTGAATGACGACAGATTGGAAGAGAGGGAGGTGTAATGAGACATGGGTGTCCTTGTACACTAGTTGCTGAAACTAAGTAAGTATGCAGTAGGTGATAAAGAAAGCAAATGGTATGTTAACCCTTGTATTTGAATGCAGGAGCAGGGATGTCTTGCTGCAATTGTACAGGGCCTTGGTGAGACCACACCTTGAGTAGTGGTTACAGTTTTGGCCTCCTTATCTAAGAAAGGGTGTTCTGTCTATGGAGGGAGTGCAATGAAGGCTTACCACATGATTTTTGGGATGGCAGGACTGGCATAGGAAGAGAGACAGGATCAGTGTTTTGAAGAAAGATGGCAAATCTCTTACAACCTATAAAATTCTAACATGGCCAGACAGGTTAATTGCAAGACAGATGGTCCCGTTAACTGGAGAGTTCAGAACCTGGGGTCACAGTCTAAGGAGATGGGGTAGGCCACTTAGGACTGAGATGAAGAGAAGCTTCTTCACCCAGAGTGTGGTGAAACTGTGGAATTCACTCCAACAGAAAGTAGTAGAGGCTAAACCATGTTTTCAAGAAGGAGTTAGATATAGTTCTTAAGGCTAAAGGGACCAAAGGATATGGGAAGAAACCAGGAACAGGGTCCTGAGTAGAATGATAGAACATAGAATTATACAGCACAGGAATATGCCCTTTGGGCCATGGTGATGTGCTGAACATGATGCCAAATTAAACTAATCCCTTCTGCCTGTCCTTGGTCCATATCCCTCCATTCCTTACATATTCATACGCTTATCTTAAAAATAAAGTCCCTTAAACGTCCCTATTGTATCTGCCTTCACCTCTAAACCCATTCCAAAATCTGTGTAGAAAACTTTGACCCCCACATCTCCTGTGAACTTTCTCCCTCTCACCTTGAATGCCTAGTATTAGACATTGATCACATTGAATGGTGTGGCCGATTTGAAGGGCTCCTATTTTCTATGTTTTTGCATTTGTACATTGGGAATGGGCAATTATCTCATTATGGGAATACCGTCCAATAGAGACAGGCAGTGGACTCATTAGGTTAATATCGAGACTCGGTCAGAGCAGGTTGCAGTGGGATGAGTGCGGGCCATTGTGGAGGACAGTGTGAGTCCCGGGCTCCGGTGGCCGGTGTAGCCAGGGCCGGGGACTCGCTACCCGGCAGCCGCCCACAGGTGATCCACAGCGGGCACTTCATGGTGTCGAGGCCGCACGGCGACAGCACATACAGCGACTTGGAGCAGCAGAGTCTTCGGGCGGAGTGCCCGGACTGTCGGAGCAGCGAACCCAGCTTGAGCCGCCTGCTGGAGTGCATGAGCCTGGCGTACAGGTACCGAGTTAGCACGGGCTGGGAGGTGGAAGCCGGGCCCCCTCCAACTGCTCCAGGACCTCACTAGCGGATCACCTGTAGCGGTGCTCCTTGCTCGGGTTTAGAAACTATCCACTTGGTTGCTGCCTTTCATCTCCTCCTTACTGAAATCTGGCTTAACCGCGAGGACTTAATTTTTGCTGCACGGGAATTCTTAGTCTTAGAGATGAGATGCAGTTCTCTTTGTGGATTTGTGGGAGTGTTGGATTGGATTTTAATCAGAGAGGCACCCTGATGAACTGTGACTGTAAGATCCTACTCCAAATGAAAGCTCAATTAAAAATACACAAAGATACTGGAAATAAGAAACAAAAATAGAAAGTGCAGGAAAAACTCAGCAGGTCGGGCAGCATCTGTGTAGAGAAAGCAGAGTTAAAGTTTTGGGTCCAGTGACCCTTCTTCAAAACGGCTGCTCTCAAGGAAAACTTGTTGGAAGCAGGAGATCTGACTCATAGGCAGAGTACAGAGATGCTCTTCAGCAATCACTGCGCACAAAATAAAGTTGGGTTCGTTTGTCACAGTACACATACTGACATCAAAAGGGGCCGTGCAGACAAATTGCATGTAGAGGTCTGGGACAGGTGCTGTCAAGTCCACTGCTTTGTTTAACAACAGAGAGAATGACCACCTTTCAGTCAGACACATTATACCTTCAAAAGGTGCCTGCTGAGTATGACCACTGAGCATGAAATTAGAGGGTGTAAGTTAGAAACGAGGAAATCCGAGTCGGAGTGAGAGATGGTGCTTAAAATGGTTGAAAGTGAGGTCTGGTGTTTCACAGCATAGAGTTGTGCAGCCACTTCAGTTCATTCAGTACGATGTTAGATAAAGGGGTGGATCTGCATTTGCATCTGACCTCAAATTGTACATATACTTAATTATTCAGAGGACAAAAGTAAGCTGCAAAGGGGTGATAATAATAAAGGAAAGTTGCAAATCAAACTTAATGCCATTAAGTACGAGCTTATAAGCTTTAAAGAAGTATCAATTATACTGAGAGATGGCAAGAACTGTTGATGCTGGAGTCAGAGATAACAGTGTGGAGCTGGATGAACACAGCAGGCCAGGCAGCATCAGAGGAGCAGGAAAGCTGAAGTTTCAGGTCAGGACTCTTGCAATGCTGTCAAGAAGGAAGGGCATTACAGGATTCTGACAAAGCGACAGTGAAGATGTGTCAGGATGGTGAATGGCTTGGAGGTTGTGGTGTTCCCATGTATCTGCTGCCCTTGTCATTCCAGATGGAAGCAGTTGTGGGTTTGGAAGAATTCTGCAGTGCATCTTGTAGATGCTACACATTGTTGTTATTGAGTGTTGGTGGTGGAAGGAGTGGATGTTTGTGGATGTAGCGCCAATCAAGCGGGGGCTGCTTTGTCCTGGATGGTGTCCAGTTTCTTGAGTTGGAACTGCACACATCCAGGCAAGTTGGGGAGTGTTCCATCACACTCCTGACTTGTGCCTTGTAGATGGTGGACAGGCTTTAGGAAGTCGAGAGGTAAGTTACTTGCTGCAGTCACTATTTATATGGACATCCAGTCCAGTGGTCAATGGTAACCAACAGCTTATGGATAGTGAGGTATTCAGTGATGGTAATGCCATTGAATGTTGATTTGATTTGACTTACTTATTGCCATGTGTCCCAAAGTGAAAAGCTTTGTTTACGAGTAGTGCAGAGAGATCATAATAGCAAGGACATACAGATCAAAGGGTGAAAAAAAACTTAGACAGAGGCTTACATATTATGTCACGCAGAGTGTGCGGTAGGCAAGATCAACGTTAGCCAGATCAGTATTATTTGACATTAGAGAGTCCATTCATCAGTTTAATAACGGCAGGGAAGAAACTGTTCTTGAACCTGCTGAAGCTTCTGTATCATCTGCCCAACAGAAGAGGTTTGTAGGAGAGCATTCCTGGGGTGCGATTCATCTTTGATGATGTTGGCGGCCTTTCCATGGTAGTGATCCATGTAAATGGAGTCCATGGATGGAAGGTTGGTTTCCGTGATGGTCTGGGCTGTGCACATCACCTTCTGCAATTTTGTACCCCCCCAGGCCCCTACTGTACACTGTTGCCATACTGGGCCATTAGGCAGCCAGACAGTGTGCTTTCTGTGGTGCATCTGTAGAAGTTGGTGAGGGACCTTGTGGACATTCCAAATTTCCTGAGCCGCCTGAGGAAGAAGAGGCATTGTTGTGCCTTCATGACTGCAGTATTTATGTGAGAAGTCCAGGACAGGTTGTGGTTATCGGTTATCATCACTCCCAAGAACTTGATGCTCTCCACCTCCGCTCCATTGATGTAGATGGGGGTGTGTTCTCCTTTCTTTCTGAAGTCAATGATCAGTTCTTTAGTTTTGCTGACATTGAGGGAAAGTTTGTTCTTATTGCATCACGTCACCAAACTCTCTGTCTCCTTTCTGTATTCTGACTTGTTAGATATCTATCCTACCATGGAGGTGTTGTCAGCAACGTTGTAGATGGTGTTCATTTGGATTTTAGTAACACAGTCGAGGGGTGTACAGTAGGGGAGGAGGTACAGTTACCTATCCTCACTGATTGCGGTCTATGGGTCAGAAAGCTGAGGACCCCGTTGCAGAGGGTGGAATCGAGCCCAAGGTTTCAGAGTTTTGAGATCAGTGTGGTAGGGATAATGGTGTTGAAGTCTGACATAGGTGTCCTTATTGTCCAGGTGTTCCAGGAATGAGTGCAAGTCGAGGGGAAATGGCATCCACTGTGGACCTGTTACATCAATAGGCAATCTGTAGGGGATTGAAGCAGGCTGGGAGACTAGAGTTGTCAGGAAGATGGTTAGATTCTTTCTTATTTATTGTCATAGAAACAGAACCTTCAGCTCATATTTATGCCAACAACAGACACCAAACCGTATTAATCCAATTTACCCTCACCTGGATCCATAGCCTCCTGTCCTTTGGCATTTTAAGTGCTCATCCAGATGCTTCTTAAATGATGAGAGTACCTGTCTCTGCCACCCTCTCTTTCTACCATTGTCTAGGTAAAAATGTTTTTCACAAATTCTTCTAAACCACTTACTACTCACCTTAAACTTATGCCCTGTATTTTTAGACAGGTTGCCATGGGTAAAAGATTCTCATGATCCACTCTGTCTGTGCCTGTCATAATTTTGTATACTTTGATCAGATCCCCCTCCTCAGCCTCCTCTGCTCCAGGGAAAACAAAGCCAGCCAATCCAGTCCCTCCTCATTACTGAGACTTTCCATCCCAGGCAACATCCTGGTGAATCTCCTCTGCACCTTCTCCAGTGTAACGACATCCTTCTGATAGTGAGGTGACCAAAACTTCACACAGTGTTCCATCTGCAGCCTAACCAATATTCCCTACTGCTATATTCTGTCCTGGCTAATGAAGGCAAGCATCCTGTATGCCTTCTTTACCACCCTATCTACCTGTGCTGACACCTTAAGGGATCTGTGGATTTGTACACCAAGGTCCTTTTGTTGCTCAGTACTCTCTAGGGACCTACCATTCATTGTGTGTAGCCTTCCCTTATTAGACTGTCAAAATGCATCACCTCACACTTGTCAGGATTAAATTCCATCTGCCATTGCTCTGTCGAATTTACCAGCTAATCAATATCAGGCTGTAGCCTGAGACCATCCTCCTCATAATCATCAACACCACCATATTTTGTACATCCAAGTTGTTAATGTACGTAACAAACAGCAAGAACCCTGCACCTGTGGTACATTGCTGGTCACCCTTTACCTTTTATTTGCAAGCCAAGTTTGAATCTAGTTTACCAACTTGGCTTGGATCCTGTGAGCTCTTAGCTTTTGGACCAGCCTCCCAAAGGCCATACTGATGTCCGTGTAAATCACAACTCCACTACCCTCTTCTTTTCAAACAAACTCAATTAAATTGGCCAAATAGTGTCTCCCTCCAACAAATCCGTGATGATCATTGCCTTGTACTTGTGATCCTTGCCCTTGCATCAGTTTCTCAGTTGTCACAATGCCATGCAGTAATATCCAGGTCTTTCTGTGTAACCCATACTTGGAATCGGGTTTCAGGGGACATATTCCCTGAGGAATTTGGGGAAGAATAATATGGTGAAGGCCTGATCAATTGTGTGGCTTTCAAGTGAATAAAACTGGGATCCAAGTCCTGGTGAGCCAGATAATCAGGATTGTAGGGAAATATGTGAAACTGGAGGGGGCTTTATTTACAATTGAATGGACCTGGTGAGTTTGGAAGTGAATGCAGATGCAGCAAAAGCCGTCAAGAATGATGTAACTCAAATGTTTGAAGCATAAGGAACATAAAGAACAACTGAAACTCAGTTTGAGAAGAAAGATACACATTCTTTCATTCAACGTGCAAACAAATGGAAGGAATGATAAACAAAAAAGGAAGACTTGCATTTATGTAGTATCTTTCATGACCAAAAACATTTTGCATACAATTACGTATGCTTATAGTCATGTGTAATGTTGAAAATTGATAGCCAATTTTTACACAGCAACAAGCTACTAACTGTAATGAGATAATGACCAGATAATTTGGTTTTTTGGTTTTAATTTATGGAATAGGTATTGACCAGGATGCTCTGAGTAACTCGCTTGCTCATAGGCAGAGTGGCCATGGCCCCACAGGAGGCCATTCAGCCTGTTGAATCTATACCAACTCGATGCTAAGAAAACCAGGTAGTCCCATTCCTTTTCTCAATTTCCATAGGCCTGTAAGTTTAAATCAGTGTGGGATCACTTCCCTATTGGTGGTCATGCCTGTAGTCATCTTGGTCCTACGCTCTAGAATTCTCGTATTAGAGTCCCAATGATTTAGACAAGTTAACTAGTTGGGCCAACAGATGGTATTTGCAGTATAATGTGAATAAATGTGAAGTTATCCACTTTTGTAGCAAAAACAGTAAGGCGGATGATTATCTGACAGGCAATAGGTTGTGAGAAAGGGTAGGTGTCCTTGCAC